TCGGGGAGGATTTGGGGTCCATCCGGGGGGACAAGATTAAGGACCAATGGAAAAAAGTTAAAGTCCCCGTGAGCACTGACTTCTTGGGTTTAACCCGGGTGGCTCCCCCGGGTTAAAAAAACCCCCGAAATTATCTTTTCTTATACTTTAGAGGAAAAGGTTTTTTTTTAGTTTCTATTAAAATTTTTAAAAAATCATAAAAACACTTAAATTCCTTTCATATTTTGCACTAGAATAGAATACCTTACCATTCCTCATTAAAACATCACAGTACTGGGTTTAGTATTTACAAATGGCTCTGAGTCACAAAATTAGTATAGGCACATGCACAGGGCGTTGCCTAAAAACTCTAAAACATTAATAGATTCTTATGATAGGGTTCACTTACAATAATTTTTCATACACTACAGAGGCTTGCTCCTTGGTCATCACTTTCTCTAAGAGCTTCTAACCCCCTTCTCCAACCGAGATAAGTCTTAGCAGTAAGTTCCGAAAATTCCGGATTTTCTAGGGAGGCAAATGTGGTTTAGAGGTGGATACTTCCCCCGACCCTTCCCGTCCAGAAGGATGAACTGAAAACTGTGAGGCTTTACCAGCCCCCTTTGTCCCCGGCCGGAACAGGGTTGGCACTCAAAACACTTTCTGGTGCTTGGCCAGGTCACCAGCAGGGTCAGCAGCTCAAAACACCTACTGGTGCTTGCCAGGTCCCAGCCAGGGTTGAGCAGCTCAAAACACCTACTGGTGCTTGGCCAGGTCACCAGCAGGGTTGAGCACTCAAAACACCTACTGGTGCTTGGCCAGGTCACCAGCAGGGGTTGAGCACTCAAACACTTTCTGGTGCTTGGCCAGGTCACCAGCAGGGGTTGAGCAGCTCAAAACACTACTGGTGTTGGCCAGGTCACCAGCAGGGGTTTGAGCAGCTCAAAACACCTACTGCTGCTTGCCAGGTCACCAGCAGGGGTGAGCAGCTCGAAAACCTACTGGTGCTTGGCCAGGTCACCACAGGGGTCGAGCAGCTCAAAACACTTACTGGTCTTGGCCAGGTCACCAGCAGGGGTTAGCACTCAAAACACCTACTGGTGCTTTGGGCCCGGTCACCAGCAGGGGTTGAGCAGCTCAAAACACCTACTGTGCTTGGCCAGGTCACCAGCAGGGGGCGAGCAGCTCAAAACACCTACTGGTCTTGGCCAGGTCACCACAGGGGTTGAGCAGCTCAAAACACTTACGGGGCTTGGCCAGGTCACCACAGGGGTCGAGCAGCTCAAAACCTAACTGGTGCTTGGCCCGGTCACCAGCAGGGTGAGCAGCTCAAAACCCTACTGGTGCTTGACCAGGTCACCAGCAGGGTTGAGCAGCTCAAAAAACCTCTGGTGCTTGGCCAGGGCACCAGCAGGGGGGAGCAGCTCAAAACACCTACTGGTGCTTGGCCAGGTCACCAGCAGGGGTCGAGCAGCTCAAAACACCTACTGATGCTTGGCCAGGTCACCAGCAGGGGTTGAGCAGCTCAAAAACACCTACTGGTGCTGGCCAGGTCACCAGCAGGGGTCGAGCAGCTCAAAACACCTACTGAGCTTGGCCCGGTCACCAGCAGGGGTTGAGCAGCTCAAACACCTACTGGTGCTTTGGGCCCGGTACCAAACACGGGGTGAGTAGCTCAAAACACCTCTGGTGCTTGCCAGGTCCCCCAGCAGGGGGTTTAGCAGCTCAAAACACCTACGGTGCTTGGCCAGGTCACCAGCAGGGTCCGAGCAGCTCAAAAAACCCTACTGGTGCTTGGCCAGGTCACCAGCAGGGTCGAGCAGCTCAAAACACCTACTGATTGCTTGGGCCAGGTCACCAGCAGGGTTGAGCAGCTCAAAACCTACTGGTGCTTGGCAGGTCACCAGCAGGGGTCGGCAGCTCAAAACACTACTGGGGCTTGGACCAGGCACCACAGGGGTTGAGCAGCTCAAAACACCTACTGGTGCTTGGCCAGGTCACCAGCAGGGGTCGAGCAGCTCAAAACACCTACTGGTGCTTGGCCAGGTCACCAGCAGGGGTTCGAGCAGCTCAAAACACCTTTCTGTGCTTGGCCAGGTCACCAGCAGGGTTGAGGGAGCTCAAAACACCTACTGGTGCTTGGCCAGGTCAAACCCCAGGGGTTGAAACCTCCAAACACCTACTGGTGCTTTGGGCCAGGGGCACCAGCAGGGGGTTTAGCAGCTCAAAACACTTACTGGTGCTTGGCCAGGTCACAAGCAGGGGTTGAGCAGCTCAAAACACTTACTGGTGCTTGGCCAGGTCACCAGCAGGGTGAGCAGCTCAAAACACTTACTTGCTTGGCCCGGTCACCAGCAGGGGTTGAGCAGCTCAAAACACCTACTGGTGCTTGCCAGGTCCACCAGCAGGGGTTGAGCAGCTCAAAACACCTACTGTGCTTGGCCAGGTCACCAAGGGTTGAGCAGCCCAAAAAACTTACTGGGGCCTTTAAACCCGGCACCAGCAGGGGTTTTTTTTTGCGCTCAAAAACCAAACCCACTTGGGGTTTTTTCTTTGGGCCCCACCAGCAGGGGTTTTTGTTTTTTTCATGCTCAAAACACCTATGGTGCTTGGCCCCCGGGGAAACCCGCAAATTTTACACAAATTTTAAACCCCACCTACCTAAATACCAAAGCTTTAGTAAAACGACCAGATAATTTTTTATAAAGTCGAGAAAAACCATTTTAAACTACTAATGGAATTTTCTCCGAATATAAAATTTAAATGAAATTTGCAAAAATAACTGTAAAAGAAAACCCTTGTTTATAAAAACAGTACTTATTTAAAGAACAAAATTTAAATTTTAAATTCAAATTCAAATTTTAAAAAATTTATTCTCCCATAAGGTTTTCAATGCTGAGTTTACAGAAAATTTTGGGTTTTTGTGTGGTTTTTTCATGTTGTAAAAATTTTGGGGGACAGAGTGAACCCCTAGAACACCAAGGATGGTTAGGATTACAAGTGTACCCCTAGAACACCTAGCATGGCTGGTATTAAAAGATTTACCACTAGAACACTTTGCAAGGCTAGGCATTACAGGTTTTAAACCCCTAGAACACCCAGGGGATGGTTTTGGTATTACAGAGTTTACCACTTAAAAACACCTTGCATGGCTAGGCCCTTACAGAGTGTACCACTAGAACACCTTTGCATTGGGGTAGGGATTACGAGGGGTGTACCACCCAAACCCCTTTAACATGGCTAGGGCCCTTACAGAGTGTACCACTAAACCCCCAGCATGGGGTAGGCTTTCAGAAATTTTACCCTAGAACGCTTGCATGGCTGGTATTTCAGAGTTTTAACCCCAAAAACCCCCTTCCCCCTGGCTAAATTAAAACAGAGGGGTACCACTAGAAAAACCTAGCATTTGGGTAGGCTTTTCAGGGGTTTTAAACCCTAAACACCTGCATTGCTAGGGGATTACAAAAGTGTACCACAAAAACGCTTAAACATGGCTAGGCATTACAGGTGACCACTAGAACACTTAGGGAAAGCTAGGGCCCTTACAGAGTGTACCCTAGAAAACCTAGCATGGCTAGGATTACAGAGTTAACCCCTAGAAAAACCAAACATTGGGGAGGCATTACAGATGGGGGAAAAACTAAAAACACTTTGCTGGCTAGGATTTACAGAGTGTACCACTGAAAAACCTAGCCCTGGCAAAGGGATTTTCAGAGTGTACCCCCTAAACCCCCTAGCATGGCTAGGGCAAATTTCCCGAGTGTACCAAATAGAACACCCAGCATGGGTAGGCAAATTTCCCGAATGTTCCAACTAGAACGCCTTTTGCAAAGGTAGGCAATTTTTTGGGGGATACTTAGTTCTATTTCTTTTTTTGTAAAAAAATTTTCAAATTTTTGAGGGTTTAAATTGGTATTATGGGGTAAAGTGACTAAATACTAATTTATAAAAATTTTGCAATGTTTAAAACTTTTTGTTTTTGGGACAGTAAAAAAGTTTCCCTATTGGACATCAAAAGGAAATTTATTATTTTTAAGACTGAAATTAATTTTCTGTTTTTGGCAATTTTTTTGAGTGAGTGTAAGTGTGAACCCCCAGGTGGTATTCGTATAAAGTTGACGGGGGGGTATCAGGGTATAAGAAGGGTTTTTTAATGGGAGTTTTTAAGGTGATTTAATGTGTCCGGAAATTCTAAGTTCTCAGGTAGGGGGTTCCAATTTTAGGGCCCTTTTACATAACATTGAATTTTTGTAAAAGGTTTTTCGGACAGAGGGGAAAAAC